CACACGCCTATGGTGGGAGACACACCTAAACCCCTGGGACAAGGGTGACAGGACTAAGGAAATTCCCCTAGCGTCACTAGCAGACAGAATGGAGACCAGAGATTCCAAGGCAAGACCCGCATGGAACCAGGGCCGGCTTTAGGAAGTGCGGGGCCCAATTCGAACATTTTCGGCGGGGCCCCGGCAGGGATGACTAAAAAAAAAAAAAAAAAACCAACGTAAAAAAACCCCTTTCATTTCTTCCATGTATTATTTACTTTCCATAACTATATAAATAATAACAAAAATATATATGTCGTACATTGCTGGCTGGAGGCAGGGCAGGGGCTGACTGGAGGTAGGGTCTGGCTGGAGGCAGGGCAAGGGGTGCGGGGGTGGCTGTGGGCAGGGCAGGGGGTGTAGGGCTGGCTGGAGACGGTCTGGCTGTGGGCAGGGCAGGGGGTGCGGGGCTGGTGCAGGCAGGGGGTGCAACAGGGGCTGTCTGCGGGCAGGGCAGGGGGTGCGGGGCTGGCTGGAGCGGTGAGAACCCAGCTCGCTCGCTCTCTCTCTAGGTGTAGCCTTCTGACCCTGACTTGTGTGCTCAGTTATAGTTTTGTAAACCTGACTTTTATAATCAACATTGACTTAGATTTAATATTATAACTGTTTTGTTTATTTGATTCCCCTATGGTTCATCGTCATCATGTTCCTATTACGCCTCTGGCGTTTAGGGCAGTGATGAAGCTCCTCCACTCCTGTCTGATTCTGACAAGTCTTTCAATGGTTCCCCAGCTCTGCCCCGGGTTTTTCAGCTCGGCTTCCACAGCTCTTCGCCATGTTGTTTTCGGGCGGCCTCATTTTCGCTTGCCTTCAGGTGTCCATCTTATTGCTACTCTGGTGATGGGATCAGTTTCCATTCGAAGCACATGACCGATCCATCTCCAACGCCTCCTGGCAATGATGGCGCCCAGATCCTCTTGGCTGAAATGTGTCAATAGATCTTGGTTTGAGATTGTTCTGGGCCAAAAGATACGGACATTTTTTCTGAGGCAGGTTGTATGGAATGAAGACAGTTTGGACATGTTAGACTTTCTCATTCCCCAGCATTCTGCACTGTAAAGTAATGTTGAAAGTACGCAGCTCTGAGAAATCTTGAGTTTGGTTTTGATGTTGTATTTTGATGATTTCCAGACTGTATTTTAAGCTCCTGAAGGTGTTCCTAGCTTTATTGATTCTGTTCCGGATGTCCTGGCTTGTTCCACCGTCCTGGCTGATGGTGCTACCCAAGTATGTGAATGTTTCTACGTTGGTGAGAACATGATCCTCTATCCGTACTGGTGATGGGGAGGCAATATTAAAGGTCATGAGATCTGTCTTATTGAGGTTGATTTTCAGTCCATTTTGCTGGCTGAATGCATGGAGTCGAGTTGTTTTTTCTTGTCCATACTGTTGGGTATGTGGTAGGAGAGCGACATCATCTGCGAAGTCCTGGTCTTCAAGGGATGAGAAGAGTGTCCATGTAATGCCTCTTGGCATGTCTTCTGTTGTACACCACATTACCCAGTCGATGGCAATGCTGTAGAGGATTGCAGACATGACGCACCCCTGACGTACTCCTCTTTTGACTTCAAAACTGAGCTCGCTGTGATCAACACTGCATGTAAAGTTGAAATAGAAGCTTTTGATGACGTTGATGATACGGAAAGGAATTCCACATGCCCACAGAATGTGCCATAGGCTGGTCCTGTGAATGCTATCAAAAGCCTTCTCAAAGTCTATGACGTTTATGTAGAGTTGCTGTTGCCATGCTAACCAATGTTCTATGATGTTTCATAGAATGAAGATGTGGTCTGTGCGTCCACACCCTTTCCGAAAAACAGCTTGCTCTTTTCTGAGAACGTTATCAACTGTCTCTGATAAAGGCTGGACTAGGATCTTACACAATACTTTGCTTGGCACAGATAAGAATGTGATACCACACCAGGTATTGCAATCACTGAGTTCCTTTCTTTGATATCTTCACTAGAACTATAGATAGATAGATCCCTGCAGCGCCCAAAAATCCTGTGGGGTTTGCTCATCAAGTGGGTTACGACCAGAACAATTGTAACGTGACAGTGGGGATAGGGACGTGCTGAACCTGGGACATATGAGGGTGACAGCTTGGAGGTGCTGCTCGACTCAGCCTACTGAGTCCAGGGACATAAGGGGTCATCTTGAGAGTGCTGATTAACCCGGTCCTGCTCTGTTAATGTGTGTGTGTGTGTGTGTGTGTGTGTGTGTGATTCTGGGGCTGGAAGAACCCAGCCCTGGGGAACCTAGGTCCTGCAAGACAGCTCCATTGGGAGGGAGCTTGCAGCAGGGAGAAGTAGAGCTCCGTATGAAGACACAAGCAATACATTGATAGACGTACAGAATCTCCCTCCTCCCCCCAGAAGAGTAAACCCAATAAATGAGCATGCCCTAAAGTAATGGGCAAAGCTGGTAACAATAGGTCCCATTCCCTGACCCCCCTTTGGCCAGCTGGGAGCCGGTGCCCCTAGAGAGGAAAGGCCCCCTGAGCCAGCCCGTCCCCGCTACACCAGGTAACACTCAGCCTCGGCGCTGGCCTTGCTCTTGCTGGCTGGGAGGGAGGACTGGCCGGAGACCTCGCTGAAGGCGCCCTCGAAGGCTGACAGCACCGAGCTCCGGAGCTTCTCCCTGAAATCCTGGCCCACAAAGACGTAGAGGAGGGGGTTGAGGCAGCTGTTGAGATAGGCCAGGCCTGAGGCCAGCGGGATCCCCACTGCCAGGAGCGACTGGAGCTGGGGCGTCACCGCAGTGACTGACACCTCCAGGAAGGAGAAGACGTGGTAGGGGAACCAGCAGAGGAAGAATGCCATCACCACGGCTACCATGATCTTGTAGGGCCTGCCAGAGCGGGCCAGCTGGTTCCTCCTCATCTTGGCCGCGATGACCATGTAGCAGGCCAGGATGACGGCAAATGGCACCAGAAAGCCAGCCACGAACCGGGTCAGCACCACGGCCCAGTGCCGGCTCTCCCTCAGCCCAGCCATCTCCTCCCCCTGGAAGCCATCTGACAGGGCGTAATTGTTGTAGCAGTGGGTGACGTTCTCCTGAAAAGGGGAGCTCCCAGTGTCCCGGAAAACCACATAGGGGCAGCTGAGAGCGAAGGCTGCCAACCACACGGCCACAGCCACCAGGGAGGCCAACCGGGGTGAGCGGTGGTTCTGGGCCCAGACTGGCCAGGCCACAGTGACGCAACGGTCGGCACTGATGGCGGTGAGGAGGAAGACGCTGGCGAACATGTTGAGGAAGGCCACAGTGGTGTTGATCTTGCACAAGGCCCGGCCAAAGGGCCAGTGGAAGCCCAAGGCCACATAGGCCACGCCAAGGGGGAGGAAGAAGGTGAAGATGAAGTCGGCCACGGCCAGGTTGAGGAACCAGATGGCGTTGACCGTCCTCTTCATCCGGAAGCCGGTGATGAAGATGACCAGCCCATTGCCCATCACTCCCAATACGAAGGCGATGGAATAGATCACCATGGAGACCACGTGCATGGTGCCACGCAGCTTGGTGCCGGCCTCCAAGCTAGAGTCATCCTCGTAGTCTCCATCATACTCATAGGGGGAGGAGGCGTTTTCGGCCATGCTGAAGAAGAATCTGCAGGAAAGGAGTCATTGGCCATAAGGGGAAAGGCCCCATGTCCCATTCCCCACCCCTCCTGAGCCAGCCAGTCCCCACCATGGGGCTGGATGGGAGCCAGCGCACCCTAGAGGGGAAAGGTCGCATGCCCCATTCCCCACTCACACTGTCCCCCTAAGACAGCAAGGCCCCCGCCCTGGGCTCGGATTAGGGCCAGCGCCTCCTAGAGGGGAAAAACCCCGTGGCTCATTATCTGCACCCCTGAGCCAGCCAGTCCCTGCCCTGGGGCCAGATCTGAGCCAGCGCCCCTGACAGGGGAAAGGCCTCCAGTCCCATGCCCAGCCCTCCTGAGTCAGCCCGGGCTCAAAATATTTAGCTGTGTGGTACCAAGGAAACAGGGTAATTGCATCCAACTGACACTTTCCCAGCTCCAGCCGCGTTGCCACATCGCTGTTGTTACTGGCTGGGATAGGAAAATCCTGAGGTCGAGCAACTTCATTCTGGAGCCAGGATGCTGGTCACTCAGCCAGGAACACCACAGATGTGTGGGATGGTCCCCAGTCCAACACCTCCCCCCTCACCCCGCAGCTCAGTCAGACTTCCCCAGCTCAGCACAGTAGGGAGAGACCCTCAGATGCCCAGCGCGGACCCGGCTCCTGCCAACTGCGATGGCTTCCCCTGAGCTCTCAGCTCTTCTCTGAGCACAATGGGCCAGGGGACTGGGAGCCAGGACTCCTGGGTTCTCTCCCCAGCTCTGGGAGGGGACTGGGGGCTACTGGCTACAGCAGGAGGGGGCTGGGAGTCAGGACTCCTATCTATTCATCCCCATATATCCCATTTATCCTATGTATCTATCAGCTACTACAGGGATGAAGATAGATAGATAGATAGATAGATAGATAGATAGATAGATAGATAGATAGAGGGGATGTACGGGT